GATTATCAAATAAATTAGGGAAGAGATTCTGAAATGTTAATGTCGTATTGATTAAATAAACACCTTTTGAGTATGGCCGTACAAACAGAAGAAAAGTAGGAGGAGGATGATCTTCCCACTTTACCAAAACCTTTTGTTCTTCTGTTGGTTCATTAATGCAGATACTTCAGTAGCCAACATCGAGTAGACTGGAGAGAGAAATACAGGTGACAAGAAATGGGAACTAACTACTCGCAAGGTTAATGAAAATTAAAGTGATTTATTGCTTCAAGCAAACATCTTTGTCAAAATGTTAACAAAAGTTCTCACCATTTTTGGTGAAATTTAAACATGTAGTAACCTATATAATGACAGAATTTATTGCAACAGATGCAATCAATATGAAACAAATAAAGATTAACCAAATATTTAAATGAAACAATAAATTGTATCCCAAGACATGAGAAAATCCTGGAGCAACACTGTATATTCATCATCAGTTTACATGAATTTTCATGTACTTGCCTTTAATACCTAATCAGGCTATAATAATGTAGAGCCAGAGGTTCTTTTAATGGCAAATGTCTATATCCCTTTCTTTTGAGACCATGAACTGTTCTCTTTCCATGATCTACGACCCTAAATTTGTAACTACACAAACCAAGTAGCTGCGACAGAAACTTTTATTTGATGACATATTTAACCATGTATCATCTTCTTTTCTTTGTGTATTTTCCTTGTAGTAAACACACATCGACATCACACCGCAACAATGTCCATAAGATACCTGTGATATTAAATCTATTAGTATCACAAAAATCAGAAAAAGTGTCATATCTACTTGCATCCTTTTTCCTACTACAGACAAAGGAATAACACCACTTTCTACTTTCATTGCATAGTCACTGCATCTGGAAATGGATCAAAATCGTCTTTTGCATTTGAAACTCCCATTTCCCTCAAGGCTGGAAAGAATGAAATCGCTTTCTTGAGTATGACAGTTGGATTACAAGTAAGTGCATCCGCCATTACCAGATACAAATATTTATTGCAGTCTTGTTACTCTGCAATATATGTTCCTTCTTTAATGACTATCAGCAAAATTGTGAAAATTTAATATATGTTTCTTCTTTATTTTCTTCATCCCCCCTGTGTTCAAATAATACCTGTTTTTCTGAATCATAAGAGAAAATTGTCTGGATGTAGTGTTATATTTATAACTTTTCAGCACTTGGTTTCTAGTTTTACGGTACCTTATATTCATTACATCAGACTTGTACAGCTTTATAGTTTCTTTGAGTTAATAATGTTTGTCAGGAATTACTTTTTATGTATACCTTTATGCAAGAGATCTTGGCTGTCAAGCCCATGCTTCCAAAGAGCTCATACCCCCTAGTATAAATGATATAATAGCCAAATATATTAAATTGAATAGGATTTAATGTACAGAATCTGGTGAATAATGAAACAGTACTCTGATGCACTGAACAAGTATGGTGTAATGAAGCATATTGGTGTATATGCAATTTCATCTAAACTTACAATTGAAGCTGTAACACATACAGAGGCATAGTAATGTTTCCTAGTTTGGTAGGTAAAAACCAAGCAGTCCATTGATTAATGTAAATAAGAGAATCAAATGCTATGCCACTTCTTTATCTTATTTTTGCACTATTTGATGTATATCTTCTGAGGGCTGCTTGGATTGCTGAACTTGAATTAATAGAGGGAATATAGAATCCCCTCGCTAACTTTCCGTAAACTGGAGTCATATTATAACTGCTCAGGTTGTCACTTCCTCATTCTGGAATTTCAGGGAGTTGATTTCTGAATCCCACAAAAAATGCTGTACCGCAAACATTTGCAGTGAACTCTTATCTAAATACACTGTAAAATTCATTTTCTCAAGAGGTTGAACTGCACAGTAGAATCTATAAAATATTTAATCATTATGATAAGGTTACTCATATTTTTAAGTACTCCTGGACATAATAATTCCTTCGCAAATGAATCTCCAATATAATATAATAAAAAAGTAGGTATACATGCATCACCCTCACAGTCCTCTCATTTATACTGCTGGATTATGGAATTAATGAATAAGATTTTCACGCAACAATTACTTTATTGGAGTCTGATTTTTTTCATCTATCTTACTGATACCATAGAATGGAGGGCCATTTTATGAATGGTGGGGAGCAGGACTGACCAGTGTAAGAATATCTGGGTTAAAAAACGGTACAATGGATTTATCTTCAAATGCATGGTTGTACAAGGTAAATAGCTACAGTACTTTCTTTTAATCACATTTCAGTGCCCGACGATCTGAATCCCACTAGAGTTAATTGTCTTTGACTTGTTCTTTGTATAAGGTTCAAAGTTTATAAAACCTTATATTGATATCAATTATGCAGTATATTGTGTTATTTACTTCTTCAACTCTCATTGACAAGCACTTCATATATTATTAAGTAAAAATATAAAGTTTTTAAAATAATTGTTGGAATGTTGGTTTTTGTCATGCTTGACACAATTCACTTTATCCCATCTATTTATTTGGAAGTTTGGAAGGTTCTGCTGAATTTGGAACTCAAGGAAGTGACTTGTGTTTACTAGTTCAAGATGGGTTTGGTTATAGCTGCTAATGCTATCATACTTAACCAATAGATTTATCTCATCCAGATGTCAGTTCACTTTGAAGGATGATCCATCCACCATTGGGAGCTTATAATAAATGTGTCACAGCATGATATCTAACTATACAAACCAGTGCAATTGGTGTTGATATATTGAATGAGCAATGTTGGGTGCGCAAAATAGGCCTACTATGAGCCTCTGTAGGTTAGAGCTTATATTCAACATAATTTTTTATCATGTTATAAGTGATAAAGAGGGGGGGATAACTAAGAGCCTTTATATAGACAGAAAGTTTGAAAAACTATTTTCTTTATCTTATTCATGGTGGTATCTGGAGACATTATTGTTGCTGCTCCGTCCTTAATTTTATAATGCCGTTATGGGTCTTAGAAAAACTCTTTGCTCAACTTGTGATTTTTTTGAAATGACAAGAACTGAAGCATATTTTTAGTAGTTCCTCCAATATATAATGCTATAAAAATGACAAAGCACATGCAGAGTATTGACATATTAGTATAGTTAAAGGGTCTTATTTGTAAAATGTGTTTGTAGGGCCTATATAAGCCCATGCTATCTTATCTATAGAATTAGGGTTTCAATTCAATATGGTATCAGAGCCAAACCCTAAGCCCGCCCAACCTCCTAGGCACGTTCTCGCGCCGCACATTCAGCCCCCTCAAACCCTAGCACCAACCTCCTAGCCGCCGCCACAATCAGCCCCTTTAGCGCCCGCTTCCCGCCTCCTGCAGACACCCGCACAACCAGCCCCCCCTTCCGCCTCCTGCAGACCCCACAACCATCCCCCTTGCCCCTCCTGCAGACCCCCACAACCAGGACCCCCGCTTCGCGCTCCTGCAGACCCCCACAACCAGCCCCCCTTCCGCCTCCTGCAGTACCCACAACCAGCCCCCCCTTCCGCCTGCTGCAGACCCTACAACCAGCCCCTCACACCTGCCAGACTCCCCCACAATCAGCCCCTTCATCTCTGCCAGACCCCCCTTGTTCGCAAAGACAGCCCCCTCCTCCTCTAATTCCACGCCATCAGCCCCCCACCTCTTTTTACTTGCCGTGTACCCCCCCCCCCCTTTTTGGCCGAATAACCCCCTCTTTGCCCCTGCCCCCGCCGCCTTGCCGGCACCTAGAGTTTGGCATGGGTTCCCTCGACTCAGTCCTCGAACTGATGACATGAAGAGTATATATCTCACATTGATGAGATATATAACTGTTTTTGGTTCTTGTTTCCTCTGAGAAATGAGAATTTGTTTGCGATCCTACTCTTGTTGTGCAGCAGTGGTGCTGCCGAAATTTTTACTGCACACAAGGGTCGGAAGAGGAGGTGATCAGGTGTTGGGTCTGAAGCCTGTTCGATGGAGGAGATCATCAAGAAGTTGAACCCTGCGGAGGTGTCAACTTTGATGAAGCTAATGAAGTTGTCGGCTGGTGAGAGCGCGACAAAACCATCGAAGAAGTTGGAGCTTCCGACCATCGATCTGAAGCTGGATGGACCTAGTACGTACCTGAGCTGGTCGCGGCGGGTGAGATACACCCTTGCAGGGAGGAACCTGGAGGATTATCTGACAGGAGAGGCGACAGAGCCGGATGAGGACTCGGAAGGAAGAGATGAGTGGAAGTCCACTCACATGTTGGTGTATATCTGGCTCCTCAACTCATTGGTCCAGTCGATCGCCGCCACAGTTGATGGCATTGAGAAGGTGAAGGACGTCTGGGAGAAGTTGAGGAGGATCTATGATGGAGTAAGGAATAACCTGCGGGTGTTCCAGATTAAGGGAGAAATCGACGCCACAGTCCAGGGAGAGCGGACTGTACAGGAGTATGCTACAGAGCTGGAGCATCTGTGGCTAGATTATGATCACTTCTCACCTCGGGCAAGCTGTAAGGACCCGGGATGTAAAGAGCGGGAGGCCTTCCTACAGGAGAGGACTATGGTATTCCTCAAGGGATTGACATCAAAGTTCGCTCAGTGAATTGCATTGCTGCTCGCTCATCCGAAGATTCCCACGCTTGAGGAGGCTGTCTCTGCTATGATCCAGGAGGAGACTCGCATTCGGCTGCAGGTGGGGACAGGTGGACTTCCTGTGGTGAAGTCAGCACTGGCAGCCTCTAGCAACACTGGATCTAGGGGAGAGACTTTTTAGTGCTACAACTGCGGTGCAGTGGGTCATCTAAGGCATGCTTGCACCAAGCCACCCAAGGAAGGAGATTTGGGTGGACGTGGACAGTTCAGAGGTCGTGGTCGTGGCCGTGGGGGCCGACGAGGTGGAAGAGTAGCAGGTAATCGGGCGAATCTGACGGTAGCAGAGGAAGAAGAAGCTGAGGTGGTCTTTACAGAGGAGGATCGTGCTCTTCTGACGATACTCAGGAGAAAACAGCAAGTAGCAGGGGATGGAGACTTGAGGAGTGGGACTGAGGAGGCATCCACTTCGTTCTTCACCAGAGGCAACACTGCTACCTATGCTCATCCGACCAAAGGTACTGATGACATACATGCTCTTGCTTCTATGTCTCCCGACAGATCATCGGAGTGGATAGTCGACTCCGGTGCGTCTCGCCATGTGACAGGTAATGCTAGTGAGTTCTCATCATATACTCACTTAGCATCGCCTGATAGTATTCAAACAGCTGATGGTACATTTCAGCCGGTGGTTGGTAAGGGTACAGTCGATTATACTGGTTCTGTAACTTTGTTCAATGTTTTGCATGCTCCTTCCTTTTCAGTCAATCTTTTGTCCATTAGTTCTATCATCCTCCAACTAAAATGTATTGTTTCTTTTGATATTCCCAAGGTGATTTTTTAGGAGAATGTGACAGGACGGAGACTTGGGACTGGCACATGGCGTAATGGACTGTGGTATCTGGATCGTGAAGGGCTAGATTCAGCTTTGGTGTCAATAGTAAAGAGAACAGGAGTAGGATCTGAGATGAGTGCTGAGAGTGTGTTGATGCTTCATCACAAACGCTTGGGACATACTTCTTTCGGTGTTTTAAGTAGGTTGTATCCATCTTTATTTGAGAAAGTAAATAAAGAGAAACTTGTGTGTGATGCATGTAAGTTGGGAAAGCTTACTAGAAGCTCTTATGTTAGTTCTGATCATAAGAGTTCTCATGCATTTGATATGATACATTCAGATGTGTGGGGGCCTTGTTCTACAAGTTCTATGAATGGATACAAGTATTTTGTTACCTTCATTGATTGCTTCTCTCGCGTTACTTGGTTATACCTGATGAAGAATAAGAGTGAAGTGTTTGGCTGCTTTCAAAACTTTCATAGGTATGTTCAGACTCAATATGGAGCAGTGGTGAAGATATTGAGATCTGATAATGGAACAGAGTACACCAACAGAGTGTTTGGAGAATACTTGTCATCTCAGGGAATACAACACCAGACTACATATCCATACACACCAGCTCAGAATGGGATAGCGGAAAGGAAGAACAGATATCTTTTAGAGGTTGCTAGAAGTATGATGATCTCCATGAATATCCCAGAAACATTGTGGGGGTAAGCAGTGTTGACTGCAGCGGCGCTGATTAACAGAATGCCCTCGAGAGTACTGGATTGGAAGTCTCCGTGTGAGACGTTGAAAGGAGATAATGGTGGGATTCTTCCACTGAAGGTATTTGGTTGTGTGTGCTTTGTGAAGGATAACAGACCATCCGTCGGGAAGCTTGCCCCTAGAGCGGTGAAGTGTATTTTTGTGGGATATTCTGCTACTCAAAAGAGATATGTTTGCTGGAGCCCGGTGGAGAAAAGGCTGTTCGTGAGCATGGATGTGTACTTTCGTGAATTTGAGTCATATTACACACAGAAGGTACCCTCATCCATTGGTGACTCGCCCAATACTGAAAGTATGAGGCGAGAAGGGGAGAATGGTGAGAGGCAGATGAATAATGTAGAGAATAATGTGGAGAAATCGATTTCTCTAACGATTCCTTGGGAAGGAGAATTGGTTGAGGAGGAGCAGGAGAATAAAGAAGAAGAGGATAAGGAGACAAGAGGTGTTAGGCCCACGGCTCAGGGGGAGCTACTTACCTATAGTAGGAAGGGGAAGCAAATTACGAAAACAGTACCTACAGTGCCACTAGTGCCAGGTCCCTTATCAACGCCTGTCCCGACTCCTGAGACACCTACACCGCCATAAGATTCTTCCCAAGGTGATATCATTCCTCTTCTTACTCCTCCCACACCAGTGTCAGTACGGAGGACTACTCGCAACAATGCGGGACATCCTCCCGATAGATATGGTTTGGATCTTGTCCAGTTTGTATCATATTCTAATATTCACCCTGCACATGGAGCATTCATTGCATCATTGGATTCTGTTACTGTACCTAACAATTGGCAGGTTGCTAAGAAGGACCCAAAGTAAAAAGCAGCTATGCATGAGGAGCTAGGAGCTCTTGAGAAGAACCGCACTTGGGAGCTAATAAAATTACCAGAAGGGAAGAGAGCAGTTGGGTGCAAGTGGGTCTTCACTGTGAAGCAGAATCCAGATGGACAAGTTAAGCGCTACAAGGCTCGTCTGGTGGCAAAAGGGTATAGTCAGACATATGGCATCGATTATGATGAGACTTTTGCACCCGTGGCGAAGATGAGCACTATTCGGACCTTAATCTCTCTGGCAGTAAATGGTGGATGGAAGCTACACCAACTAGATGTGAAGAATGCATTTCTTCATGGAGATCTAGTGGAGGAGGTATACATGGAGATACCACTAGGATTCGGTACAGATCAGACAGTGGGAAAGGTCTGCAGATTGAAAAAGTCTCTCTATGGGCTGAAGCAATCTCCTCGTGCTTGGTTTGATAGATTCAGAAAGGCTATGATAGGTATGGGATACCAGCAGATTAATGCCGATCATACCGTATTCTTTCGACGGAGTGAAAGTCACATCACCATGCTTACAGTATATGTGAATGATATGATTATTACAGGGGATGATGAGAAGGAGATTGCCCAACTCAAAGTGAGACTGGGTAAGGAATTCGAGGTGAAAGATCTTGGCTTGCTTCGATACTTTCTTGGAATAGAGATAGCTCGAGGAGCGGAGGGGATCGTCCTATCCCAGAGAAAGTATGCACTGGATCTTCTCAAGGAGACAGGAATGTTAGGGTGCAAACCTGTAACTACACCGATCGACCAGAAGTTTAAGCTGGGTGCTGAAGCTGGAGAACCAGTTGATCGTGACAGATACCACAGGCTGGTGGGCAGGTTGATCTATCTGAGACACACACGTCCCGATATCTCTTTTGCAGTGAGTGTGGTGAGTCGCTACATGCACGATCCGAGGAATGGTCATATGGATGCTGTGTACCAGATTCTGAGATATTTGAAGAGTGTCCCCGGAAAGGGACTGATATTCAGAAAGAATGGACATGTGAGCATCGAGGGTTATTGCGACTCTGAATTGGCTAGCTGTGCTGATGACAGGAGGTCCACCTCAGGATATTGTATCTTTATAGGAGGTAACTTGGTCTGGTGGAAGAGCAAGAAGCAATCGGTGGTAGCGAGATCAACAGCTGAAGCAGAGTATAGAGCCATGGCCTTGGGAGTTGCGGAGTTATTGTGGTTGAAGAGTATGCTGGTGGAGCTGAAACTGGATCAAGGAGCAAAGATGAAACTGTGGTGTGATAACAAGTCAGCCATCAGTCTCGCCAATAACCCAGTGTAGCATGATAGAACCAAACACATCGAGATCGATAGGTTCTTCATCAAAGAGAAGTTGGACAGTGGACTATTGGAGTTAAGTCATGTTTCAACTAAAGACCAGGCAGCAGATTGTCTGACTAAGGGACTTAACTCAATAGATATGATTAGAGGATGTGACAAGATGGGCTTAGTGGATATCTTTCGCCCATCTTGAGGAGGAGTATTGACATATTAGTATAGTTAAGGGTCTTATTTGTAAAATGTGTTTATAGGGCCTATATAAGCCCATGCTATCTTATCTATAGAATTAGGGTTTCAATTCAATACAGAGATTTCATGATTCACCGAAGCTTGTTAAGGTTTTCATGTATCATTTTAGGAGAAAGTTGTGCCCAAAGTGTGGGACCGACTATAGGATGAAGTGTCCTCTCATTAATCCTTGATCTTGTGAAGAATCTCAAGAAAAAAGGTGAAGAGGACACATGGCGACCTGATCCATGTTTAGACATGCATTTTATGTCATACCTATTTATGCCACGATTTCAGTAGGGTGATGTGAGCAGGTTGAAGATCATTATAAACATTTAGTGTGATCAACACTATACCATGTACTAATACTTTGTTTTCCATAGCTCATATTAGTATTCCTTTAAATAAAAAAATAAAAAAAGAGCCCATATTAGTGAATGGCTAGTATACTGCAAAACCTACAAAATTATGTTGATGTGTGGATTGGGTTAGTATTATTTTTGCTCTTGATTTACAAAGTACATGCTATTTTATCTTAATGTCGTTTTCAATTGATGATTGCATCGTTTAGATTGATGGAATTTAGAGGTAACTAAGATTTCATGCCTGATGTTAGAGGTGCTTTATATAAACTAAAATGAGATGGACACAGAACGTGAAAGCAAGGGCTCCACATAAATACTACATCTTTTTGTGTCCTGTAGCAAAAAAAAATCATCCTTAAGACTACTTATAACAGGAGTCTCCTCACATAACCCACTTCTCTTTCTCATAACTACACCATGTTATTGTAATTCGAAACATTTTATTGCTGAACTACTGTTACTATTTACACTAATATGCTAGGGTGCCGATATACTTAAATTAGTAAAACTGTATGAGTTATCATTCTCATCATCGGGGTTTTATCCTTTATTTTTCTCGGTAGATCGGATTGGAGGGTGAGCATAAAGAAATCTACACCGAAGACGGTATGAAAAATGTTAAGTGGTTACAAAACTCAGAACCACCAAAGAATCAACCCCTCACATGGTACAAGGTACTCATAACCATTTTTCATGTTCATTCATTTAGCTATGATCTAAATTCTCAAACACTAACATTAGCCGTCTAAAATCCAGATGATAACAGAGCTTATGCTAAATTCATTGCACTTTCTTGGGATGTTCTCCTCCTAAAACTTTTTGTTACATTAAAAAACTTTCAGGCAGTTGTAGATCCACCAAAAGGAGATGAACCAGTTGGACTTGACATGAAGTACATGGGAAAAGGCCAGGCTTGGTTAAATGGAAAACCCGTTGGAAGATACTGGCCACGAACAAGCTCTATACATGGTAACTGCAGTTCTGTTTGTAAGTACAGAGGCAAATTTTTCCCAGACAAATGTCTCACAGGATGTGGAGAACCAACACAGAGATGGTAATATACTAAAATATTTTCAATCAGCATCATTTTTTCTTTGTTTTTTATCTGTCGTAGTTTTCAGGATATTGTTTGAGAATAAAATTTTACAGTTTACTCATATAGCTAGGCCCTCTGGATCTTCCAGTTTAATGCTAAATGACGACTTTTTTTTTCCTTTTAGTGTTCAAAAAGTTTAGACAATTGTTGTAAGATAAGCTTTTTAGTTTTATCATACTTATGATGATTGATGAAATGAATGATAATTTTCATAAGATATGCTTTTTAGTTTTATCATACTTATGATGATTAATGAAGTGAATGATAATTCTTTTTTTTGTTGAGTACTATATGGTGAAATGAATAACAATTCTTTTTTCCATTCAGTACTTTATGGTGAACTTTCAATGCATGTGTTTTTTACAATACCTAAATTTCGGAATTTTGTTGCTTATTAGATTGCTCCTTTTGTATTACTTTGTGCAATTTTAAGGTCGCTTTCTTAAAACTCTAATCTCCATTTGAGAAACTAAACAATCATGATTTGTCCTTATTTTTCTGGTCAAGTCACATCAACAAGAAATGTTAAACACACTTCTTACTTTATCTATGTTTCAGGTACCATGTCCCTCTCTCTTGGTTTCAACCATCAGGAAACATTCTAGTGATCTTCGAAGAGAAAGGTGGAGATCCAACTAAGATTTCTTTTGGAAGACGAAAAGTCACAGGTCTCTGTGGTTTTGTATCAGAGGACTACCCTTCCATTAACCTAGAATCATGGGATAAGAACATGAATAATGCTAGTGAAGACGCGGTAGCTCTCCATTTAACATGTCCTGAAAGTACAGTCATTTCATCAATTAAATTTGCTAGTTATGGCAATCCTAGTGGTAGTTGTGGAACCTACACCCGAGGAAGCTGCCATCATTCTGACACCAATTCTGTGGTCGAGAAGGTAATCACTTTCATCAAACATAATACTATTCAAATTATTTTCATCAAACGTAATACTGTTCAAATTATTTCCATGTTTATATTGTTATTACATGTCTCAACGAGGCGGAAAAAACTGGCTATGTTTCACAAAATTACTATGATTGTTCAACGTCACATGTTTTTGCTGAGAAAATGCATTTTTAGTGGGTTAATTGAGGATAGACCGCCTGTGCTATCGCCCAATTTTGAATGGACCCCTTGCAGTTCTACTGTTGCAAATAGACCCCCCAAAATCAGATAGACCCCCGAATATTTTTTTGACTCTTTTACCCTCAGGAAAGAGAAAAATTGTTTTTGACAAATAGATCTCTTGAGGGCAAAAGAGGCAAAAAGAATTTCACTCAGGGTGTCTATACGCATGTGAGTGAGATTACATGATATTTATCCGCAGCTATAGAACTACAGGGGTTCTATCTGCAATTGGGCTGATAATACAGGGCAATTAACCTTTTTTTAATCATCAATTCAATTCAGGATGAACAAAGCACACATTACTGGGTTGTCCTCAATCACAGTTTTGTTGCTGCATGCAGACCTGAGTGGATTTGTTGTTTTTAAACTTTTTCACCCTCTAAGAAAACATTTTTGGGTGATCGTCAATCACAGTTTTTTTAATGACAAATAGACCCCCTGAGAATTAAAAAGTAAAATTTACTCAGGAGTTCATCTGCAGCAATAAAAATAGAGGCGTGATATGTCCAAAGCAACAATCCTACAGGGGGTATATCTGTAATTAACCATTTTTAAAATCATCAATTCAGTTCGGGTTAGAAAAGGACTAATTATGTGGCGATCATCAATCACAGGTTATACTCGTAGATATATGCATGATTAAAAGTTGAATGCTATCATTGTCTATATTCATGTTTAAACGTGTAGAAAACGAAACATAGTTCAGATGATTAGCAATAACCCACTTTCCTATAGTGATTAATTTTGTAAGTATTCATGCGGTCTTTAAGTTTTCAATGTCTTAGGGTTAACTAAATGTCTGTTTGCTGTTACTGCAGGTTTGTTTGAATAAAAATGAATGCACTGTCCCTTTGTCACAAGAAAGCTTCTCAAATGATTTGTGCCCTGGCATTACTAAATCACTGGCTGTTGAAGCAACATGCAGCTAGTATATGATTCTCTGATTCTTGTTACTTGCAGTTTTGCGCATTTGATCCATTTAATTCATCCAAAATAAGGCAATATAACCCACAAAGTACAAGGTCTTCATCGCAGCAAAGCAGGTGGAAAGACATTTATTTTGGTCATTTAATTAATAGCCTCTGAATTCATTGGAATTCATTGGGATATGAATGTTCTGTCATTGTATGATTACATGTTTTGTATTTCTAAACTGTTGTTTAACAAATTAATCCAAAAGCTTTAATTACAATGAGGCAAGGGAGTACGTATATAGGAGGTTGTTCTAACCACCTCACTGTTATTATTCAACGTGCACTTTGGCATACTGTAAAATTGTCTCTATTGCTCAAAGATGAGAGGTCAAGGATGCTTGCATAAACTGACTGTACTAACAACATACGAGATATATGGGCGTGTAACAGGGAGATAAATGAGTTTGCCAACCAATCTGTGGTATCGACTAGGATCAACAAGAGGCGGATCAGAGGAAGAGTTGATGCGAGACAAACCATTAGTAGGATCCGTAGGTGTGTTAGCAAGACGACAACCAAGAAAGCCAAATTTTGCAAGGAGATCAAGTGCATACTTTCACTAGGAGATAGAAAAACTACCTTTATTGCGAGCTACTTCAATACCATGTAAGTAAACTGTTGGAATTGGGGGTGTCGACCAAACCTGTCAGGCGGCTTCAGGCGAGGTCGTGGACACGCAGGCGAGCTCGAGGGGACTCCAACTCAGGCGAGCTCGAGCAAGCGAAGTCCAGAAGAAGGCAAGCTTGAGCAGGCGAAGTCCAGTTGGGGTCGAGGCGAGGAGGAGAGCTTGAGGTCAGGATCAGGTGAGCTCGAGCGACTCCTTGCTGGCGAGTTTGGGATCTGGCGGGCGAGATCTGTAGGTGAGCGGGGGTCGAGGCGAGGAGGAGAGCTCGAGGTCAGGATCAGGTGAGCTCGAGCGACTCCTTGCTGGCGAGTTTGGGATCTGGCGGGCGAGATCTGTAGGTGAGCGGGCGAAGTTCAAAAGAAGGCGAGCTCGTGACAGGCGAGCTCGAGCTCAAGCGTTGCAGGCGCTCGAGCGTTGCAGGCGAGCTTCGGCGACAGGCTGTCGCCATCCTGTCGCTAGGGTTTTCCTATAAAAGGGAAACCCCAGTGCCCGAGATTGTTGCTCCCCTTTCTCTCCTCTCGTGACTTTTTGGGTGGCGGCGGCTCTCCTTTTCTCCTCTCGCGACCTCTCTCTGCTCTTGAATTTTTGAGGAAGTGAATTAAAGAGAATTTAAGAGAGAAGGAATTGATATTTAAGAAGGGCATAATATTACTGTAGCTACAATGATATTTAGTATTTATTGATCTGCGATCTCAAGTTTGAGATCTGCGATTGTACTGTAATTTCTTGTTGATTAATAAGAAATTTATTGTGTGGCTCCCGAGAACGTAGGCAAGTTTGTTGAACCTCGTTAAATCTTGGTGTATTTTTCTCTATACTGTGTTTCTGCTGTTTTAGGGGTTTCGGCGTAAATTTCTAACAACTGGTATCAGAGCGTGAAACGATCTAGAGGAAGTCAGATTCAAATGGGAGCCCATGGTCGCGGATGAAGGAAAAGTTAGACTTGAGAAGTTTGATGGAACATATTTCAGATTCTGGAAAATGCAAATAGAGGATTATCTGTATCAGAAAAATCTGTATCAACCACTTTCGAGGAAGAAGCCGGAGTCTATGAAGGAGGATGAGTGGAACCTTTTAGATAGACAAGCCCTTGGTGTTATCAGATTGACGTTGACCCGTAATGTTACGTTCAACATAGCGAATGAGAAGACCACGGCGGGTCTTATGGCAGCACTCTCAAATATGTATGAGAAGCCATCAGTCGCGAACAAAGTTCATTTGATGCGATAATTATTCAATCTGAGAATGGCGAAAGGCGCGTCAGTAGCACAACACCTCAATGAACTTAACACGGTCACAACCCAATTGAGTTCAGTTAAGATTGCGTTTGATGAGAAAGTTCGAGTGTTGATCCTTTTGTCTTCCCTACCAGAAAGCTGGAACGTTACAGTCACGGCTGTGAGTAGCTCATTAGGAAGCAACAAGTTAAAGTTCGATGACGTTCATGATCTGGTTCTCAGTGAGGAGATCCGATGGAGAGAGTCGGGTGAAGCTACAACCTTTTTAGTATTGCATACAGAGTCAAGAGCTAGAAATTCAACCAGAGGGAACAGACGAGGCAAATCAAACTACAAAGGTAGATCAAAGAACAGAAGGTCCAAGTCAAGGAATCCAAGCAACAGCTCGAAGGCTATCGAGTGTTGGGATTGTGAAGAGACCGGGCACTACAAGAATCAGTGCAAGAGTGCACAGAAGGAGAAGGAGGCGAAGGCAGAAGTGAATGTCACTTCCACCTCAGGAGGAGACGACGCATTAATATGCTCTTTGGAGAGCAAGGAAGAGTCTTGGGTGTTAGACTCTAGAGCATCATTCCATGCTACTTCTCAGAAAGAATTCTTCGAGAAGTATGTCCCTGGAAATCTTGGATACATATACCTTGGTGATGATCAAACGTGTGATATTGTGGGCAAAGGTGTAGTGAAAATTAAGTTGAACGGGTCAGTATGGGAGCTGAAGGATATCAGGCATATTCCCGATCTGAGAAAGAACTTAATATCCGTAGGCCAGTTGGCTGGCGAAGGATACACTATGACCTTCCATGGAGATGATTGGAAGATCTCAAAGAGCGCAATGACGATTGCTCGAGGTAAGAAGACTGGTACCCTGTATATGACAGCAGGTGCACGTTGTTTGATCTCAGTTGCAGCAGGTAATGAGACTTCAAAGCTGTGACACCAGAGACTCAGTCATATGAGTGAGAAGGGGATGAAGATCATGCACACAAAGGGAAAACTCCCATGTCTAGAATCAGTCAATTTAGATATGTGTGAAGAATTCATAGCTTCCTAAGCAGAGTGAATGACGGATAGTGAATATATAAATGCATTGAGAGCTGGATCAAGTCTACGATAAGAAATAAAATTGGTAAGAGGGTATCTACCAGATGGTTAACAAGATCGTTTATCTTTACGAAGAGCAACAGGAAGATCGTCAGACACACCATTCGGAGGCAATGATGAAGATGGAGGAGCTAAGGTATCTAATTGTGTCATTGGAGGTATCAACTCTGAAAGTGCCGCTCTTGTGTCTTTATTCTTGCTCGATAGACCTGACAAACGGGAGGTATTGGTAAGAGGGGGTTATCGATGGAAAAACATCAATTTCAACAGTAAGAATTACAGTACGTGGCGGATTGGGTGAAGCGGAAGTGATGGGGGAAGAAGAGTTGATCCTTAAGTAAAGTAGCATCACGTGACACAACTACCTTAGTTGAAGATGAATGAAAGCATACATATCCCTTTTGAGTCCGAGAGTAACCCATGAAAATGTGTTTATATGCCTGAGGATCAAGTTTATCCAGACCAGGTTCAAGAGAATGAACATAACATACACATCTGAAAACCTTTGGAGGTTGCAAAAATGAATTGCAGTCGGAAAATAAAACAGAAAACATGCTTTTATTATGGAGATGTGAGATGGCATGCAATTATTATAGTAACAAGCAGCTAAGAAGAGCAAAGTTCCAAAAACATTTAGGAACATGCATATGTAACATGAGACAACAAGTAACATCAAGAAGGTGTCAGTTTTTTCTTTTAGCTATGCTATTTTACTAGGGAGTATAAGAGCATGACATTTGATGCAAAATACCAGGTGAAGTGCAAAAAGAATGAAATTCACTACCGATATACTCTCTAGCATTATCACTTCGAATGACTTTAATAGATGTGTTAAATTGAGTAGATATTTTATTAGCATAAACTTGAAATACAAATGTTAATTCAAACCGATCACCCAATATGAAAAGTCATGTCATTCTAGAATAATCATCAATAAAAGTAATAAAATAATGATAGCTTAAAATATTAGTATGCTTAAATGGACGCCAAATGTCAGTATATCAAATCAAACATTGATGGACTACTTTTATATTTAAAGGAAATGAGGAGCGATGATGGTTTCCCAAAATACAAGATTCACATGAAAAATCAGCTACAGAGAATGGAGGTGTTTGCGAGAAAATTTTAAGAAGAAAATGAGAATAAATGAATTTGTATTAATCTCCCTAACTGACTTAGGAAAAGAATAAATACAATCTCTCAAATCTCTCTCTAACCGACTTAGGAAAAGAAATTACAATCTTCTCTTATCGGTTTCCCGATTTACAAAAGAGAGAAGGAATCAACGGAGATCATTCCCTTTGTTTAAAAGTAGGTTCTTATTGGTGGCGGTGGGAGATTGAATCTTGTATCCCATTGATGATCCGAGCACTTTGCTTTGTTGAACGTTGTCTATTCCTCTCGACTTGACGTCGGGAAGAACTTGTGGGGCAAGTTTAGAACTCTTAATGAGTTTGAGAACTTTGTAAAGGAGTTAATTTTAGAAAGGAAGTCAATCCTTTTGTAGGTGTGAATTTTGATCTCCCGAAACAGGGATTTCGTTTGTATTCACAAGAACAGCTTATTACAAACTAATGAATCGAAATTTACAACAGAAGCGGAGGGAATGCCCTCCTTGTTTAACGTGGGGACTTTCGGTAGCTATAGGATGCTTCGCTCGGTTCTCGCACCAAGTCTGCTTCCCTTGGACGATTCGACCGAGGTTGCTTGTGAGCTTTAATACGCAGTAGAAGCTCAAGTCGATAGAGTTTGAGTCTCCGAGTTCGACGACGATCAGGGCCCGAAACTGGGAGGAGATGCTACAGTGCAAAGATTATGCAAAGAGCTTGTCGCCAACTCAGTCGAGAGTCGAGAGCTAGTGGTTCAGCCAACTGATTGGTTTAATCAATTAACTATGAACGAACCTCTTTTTTGAAGCCAGGAGAGGTTCTTAAATAGAGGAGAGACGGCGTGGCCGTTCCTTGAATCATGGGATATGACCATATACTGTTGGGAGATATCTTGCCGCTCACTTGTACCATGAGCGGCCATTTGAGGGGCTCAGAGCACTGTGCTTCACATCACGTCGTGTGGGAGTGGGAAGGGAGTGAGTTTGGCCATCTTGCCGTTTGCAGGCGGATTCAGCTCTTGACTCGTGCAGGCAAGGCGAGCTTCCTGCAGGCGGACTTAGCGACTGCATGGGTCTGTCCGATCACTCGTACTGTGAGCGGCTACTTGATGGGCTCGGAGTACTGTGCTCCACATCACGTCATGTGGGAGTGGGAAGGCCCATCCT